GCCATACAAGAATTACAAAAAAGGTGTCAAAACGTTCTCATATCTTTGCAGAGGTTTGCAAAGATTACTCACTGGTCTTCAGGGATCAGAGAGATCAAGCAATCGAAAGAAAACTTCCAACTCCGGCTCCTGAAGAGATTTTGCGCAACCTAAACAACTTTATCACAAAATGGGTTTCGTATAAGAATTCAAGTGGCGCTCGTGTTATCAGCAAAAGCGTTGAAAAAGAACTAAAAATATAGAATGTCACGTTAGAAAAGGATGCTTGTCACATATCCCCCAGGTTGTGGGACAACACGAAACGAACGGCTTCACAGAGAACTGAAGAAAACAACAGTAACAAACCGAATTGGAGTAGATCTTGCAAGAACTCGCGTTGAAAGGACCCTTTTAACTCAAACAGGAAACGCGATGCAAACTTACCATCTATAGGTGACATGCTCATAAACAGTAGAAAGAAGATTCTGTTAACAGGAGTACCGCAATCGAGCAGAGCCCTTGACGAAACCAATAACAAAGTTCACGAAATAAATTTCCATGTGATGAAAAAATGCTACAGAGGATAAAAAAAAAAAATAAATTTGAAAACAACATCTATAGAGAATATTTCTCACATACAAACCCGTCTTACATCATTAATCGATAGCAATGACGAGAGTTCTACGTGTAGTGATGGTGAAAACGTGGAGAACAGTTTAAAGGCGGATGTCGAAAACTTTGTCATTCTTAGAAACGCTTTACAGTGGTGGAAAATGAGCAAGATCGTTGAGGAAAAAACGGGGCCAAAACTATTCAATTTCAAGAAGATAGTGACTTATGTTAGACCGTTAAAAACAAAGGCATTAATGGAAAATGAAACAGTAGCTGGAGACCCTACAAAAAGTGACAGAAAAAGGCTTACTGAACTAGCCTCGACTTGGGGATTTGACATTGTTGAGGTAACGGGTGACGGCAATTGCCTTTTTACGGCAGTGGCAATGCAATTGCAACAAATGATGAGCTTGAATGCACATAATGAATCATTGTTAATGTCGCACCTTGCGGAACAGATGGGAATAGACACATCTACATCCATCAACGATATTGGTAGCATTCTCAGGAGTAAAGTCGTCCAAGAATTGAAGGGAGAACGAGTAGATTTTTATCAGTCATTTCTGCCCAGTGATGTAAACTTTTTTTCGGAGGCAGATCGTTTTATCCAATCGGGAACATTTTCAGGTCCGCTAGGCGATCTTATACCTCTAGCAATCGCAAACGTTATTCAAATACCTTTATTTGTCTTAAATCCAAGTTTTTTGACTCCTTTTGTGATGATTTCTCCTGAAGGGATGGTGCCAGCCTCAAACGTCGTCTACCTCGCGTATAATGCAAGTGGTCCAGGACACTATGATGCGCTAATTATCTCCCAACGTGATCAGCAGGAGCGATTCACTTCTGAAACAAACAGCAATCTCGATGTTCTCGAGAGTCAGTCCACGCTTTCCACGGAGAAAGTGCCAATCTCAACTCCAAGAAAACCATGTCGATGCGGAGAAAAAAATAAATACAAATCAAAAGCAAAAGTGTCAAGGAACCACAAAGGCAGGTGCAAGTGCATCAACGAATACGGTACCTGTATGAGCGCATGCAGTTGTTGTGGATGGTGCCAAGGCAAACAATGTGGGGGAAACCAAAGGCTTCCTGGAGACAAAAAATGTAGAACACCGAGAAAGCGAAGTAAAAAATACAGGCATACCGTGAAAGCGAAACGATCAAGACTTTCACTGGAAGAAAATGACGAAAAAATCAAAGATCCTGGATTGAATGAGCTCGAGTTCTTTGTCATGCATGCTATTATCCAGCATGTCAACTCAAAGAATGATGTCAAAAATGACAACAGTCATTTTTGTAACATGTTTAGCAAAATAGTCAAAGTCGTAAATAGTTTCGCTTTTCTAATGGTTCTTCCCATATTTCACCATTCCTTACAGGTGCTTTACGATGAAAAAAGAAAGTATGATAAGCTAAGGAAACGTTAGATACTATATAGTATGTGGCTCTGTACCGTGCATGGACGTAATAGTAAGAGAACACCATATGATCGATAATGAGAACCGTATAATTTTATGCAAAGAATATCAATATAGTGTGCTTACTCTCACCAGATCTATATGAGATTCCCAAGAGATTCTTAACTCATAGTTGTTAAATTCGCTGTAAAGTTTTATTTATCTTTTGAACGCGAACCTGGGAAATGTTACGTTGTAATATTTGTATAAGTTAATGTTCACACCTTTCTTGTAACTAAACCAATACCTCCCTTTGCAGAGTACTATACTGTTTTGAGGTCTATGTAAGTTATGTATGTTTTATGTAATTTGCATCCTTCAAAGTCAAACCCTGTTTCCTCTTTTGATGTCCAAACCACCCCTGCGGAGAAATTTTAAGAGTTATAAGAAGTTGATATTATGCAGTAAACATCTAAAGTCGGTGGCCTTGGTAAATCACAATAAATTGAGCGATGAAGTTATTGTGTATTACCTAATTGTTTATCAGTTTAGCCTACTTCGGAATTTACATTGCCTTAGCCAATAATGTAACGCCGGACCAAATAATGAGTAATTAAAATAATAAGTAATTAAAAGTTTCATCTGATGAGGATAAAGGCTGTCCTTAATCAAAAATGCGAAAACTGTGTACTCAGCAATGGTTGAATGAGCTCATTCAAGCAATTTCTTTCGGACTCAAAGGGGAGTTAGGCAGCCTGTCCCCTTTCCCCATATTTGTTTATTCTTGCTGCGGAGATCTTGGCCAAGACCGTCCGAAACAACAAGGGCATAACAGGTTTCTCTCTGGGTAATGACGAAGTTAAGATAAGCCAACACGCTGATGATACCACTCTTCTCTTAGACGGTTGAGAGAAATCCCTTATACCAGCAATACAAAGTTTAGATGATTTTTGTCAGATCTCCGGCCTCAAGTTAAACGATAGCACAACGGAAGCCCTTTGGATCGGTTCTAAGACAGCACATGAACAAATCCTTGTTTCAGGAAAGAAGTTTAAATGGCCAAAATATAAAGTCAAACACTTGGTCTGTGGCTGTCAACCGATCCGGACATGGCTTTGACGTTGAGTTACAACGAAAAAACTGAAAACATTAGGAAGCTTTTGAGTTGCTGGAAATATTGCAGGCTCACGTTGTTAGGGAAAATTACTGTCCTTAACTCACTGACCGCATCACAACTGGTATACTTGCTCTTCCCTTTTACGCTCAAATCATTACGCTACAAAGGAAATAAATGACATGTTTTACCATTTTCTATGAAATGGTGAAGGTGACAAAATCAAGAGAAAAGTTATGATCAATGAACCTGAGTATGGAGGTCTGAAGATGATTGACCTTTATCCTTTCAACAAATGTCTTAAAACAACATGGGTTAAAAAGTACTTGGACGCTACTTAAAACGGAAAATGGAACGTTATCTTTGATCTATAACTGGAGAACTACGGCCGCGATCTCATTTTCCGTGGTAATCTCAACCGTTGAGACTCAACGTCTCTGACACTATGAAAGAGATTAGGGCAACGGACCCCGTAACTAAAGAAAAATTGGAATATTGGAAAGAAATAAACTTTGTGGATAAAGTAAGTTCTGATATCGCTTGTCAAGAACAGGTTCTGTGGTTCAACTCTTTGATAAGGATAGATAATGAAAAATTTCTTTTTTAAAGAGTGGTTTGAAATAAGTATCTCCAAAGTTAAACACGTCCAAACGGGAAACGATAATTTTCTGACTCTCAAAGATTTTGCCTCCAAACATGATTTAAGACTACGCCCGCTCAGTTTTTACGGTTTACTATCAGCTGTTCAACGAATTCGCAAAAATGTTACCGATACTGCTGAGACAAAAGACTATAACTTTGAAACACCGAGTGAAAACTGAATTGTTAAAAGAGAAAAGCTAGGTCCATTAATTTACCAAAAGCTGACCAGAGCCAATAGTTTAACCGCACGTAAAAGCCAACTAAAATGACTTCAAGACTGTAACTACTCAGACGAAGAAGGAACACTTAACTAAGAACTTGCCTATTTTATGGCGCAAAGTACGGTGCACAAAAAGCACCAAACTGAGTTCCAATTTATACTATCACATAGGCGCATACCAACCAATGATTTCTGACTTAAAATAGGACGAAAAGAAAATGACATATATGCCTTTTGCAACAATTCCTCAGACACGCTAATTCATCTTTTTTGGTCTTGCCATGTTACATGAGTATACAGGGTATAAAGGGTATACATGGGTATACAGGGTATACATGAGTATACAGGGGTATACAGCGTATACAGGGTATACCACAGAAATGAGAGAGAAATATCTATCTTTTTGGCGGCACAGCCTCGAAAATTCAAAAAAACTAGAATTTTACAAAAATTTTAAAGATGAATATTCTACATCTGATTATTTCTACCAGCTAAGACATTATGACGAACGACAGAATTTTGTTAAATTTAAAATAAGTAATCACAAACTTATGATTGAACATGGTCGATACCAAATCGATCATTTGCCAAGAGAAAATAGATTATGTCCTTTATGTAACTCAAATAAGGTAGAAGATGAGATTCATTTCCTCTTTCAATGTAACAGATACTCAGTACAAAGACAGGCATTTATTAATCAAATCAATCGAATAATACCTGACTTTGACAAGAAATCATCTCCAGAAAGCATAAAACTGATAATGAATTCGAAGGAACATCATGTAAATAAGTTAGTTATGAAGTTTGTTTCCTCCTGCATGAAAATACGTGATTCATTGTTCGTAATGTAACCGAATTTTTCTAGATTATTATTAGTGCTGTTTTGTTTTATATTTTGATTCTCATATACATGCTTTTGCAATACTGTAAAATGATGCGGTCATGCAAATAAAGCAATTTATTACTATTACAAGGTATACATGGGTATACAGGGTATACATGGGTATACAGGGTATACAGGGTATACAGGGTATACATGGGTATCCAGGGTATACATGAGTATACAGGGTATACAGGGTATACAAGGTATACAGGGTATACAGGGTATACAGGGTATACAGGTTATACTGAGAGTACATGGGTATACATGGGTATACAGGGTATACAGGGTATACATAGGTATACAGGGTATACATGGGTATACAGGGTATACATGGGTATACAGGGTATACAGGGTATACATAGGTATACAGGGTATACAGGGTATACATGGTATACAGGTATACAGGGTATACATAGGTATACAGGGTATACAGGGTATACATGGGTATACAGGGTATACAGGGTATACATAGGTATACAGGGTATACAGGGTATACATAGGTATACAGGGTATACATGGGTATACAGGGTATACATGGGTATACAGGGTATACAGGGTATACATGGGTATACAGGGTATACAGGGTATACAGGGTATACAGGGTATACAGGGTATACAGGGTATACAGGGTATACAGGGTATACAGGGTATACAGGGTATACATAGGTATACAGGGTATACAGGGTATACATAGGTATACATACATGGGTATACAGGTATACAGGGTATACATAGGTATACAGGGTATACAGGGTATACATAGGTATACAGGGTATACATGGGGCAGGGTATACAGGGTATACAGGGTATACATGGGTATACAGGGTATACATAGGTATACAGGGTATACATGGGTATACAGGGTATACAGGGTATACATGGGTATACATAGGTATACAGGGTATACAGGTATACATAGGGTATACATGGGTATACAGGGTATACAGGGTATACATGGGTATACAGGGTATACAGGGTATACAGGGTATACAGGGTATACATAGGTATACAGGGTATACAGGGTATACATAGGTATACAGGGTATACATGGGTATACAGGGTATACAGGGTATACAGGGAATACATGGGTATACAGGGTGGGTATACAGGGTATACATGGGTATACAGGGTATACATGGGTATACAGGGTATACAGGGTATACAGGGTATACAGGGGTATACATAGGTATACAGGGTATACATGGGTATACAAGGTATACATGGGTATACAGGGTATACATAGGTATACAGGCATACAGGTATACATGGGTATACATAGGTATACAGGGTATACATAGGGTATACAGGGTATACATGGGTATACAGGGTATACATAGGTATACAGGGTATACAGGGTATACATAGGTATACAGGGTATACATGGGTATACAGGGTATACAGGGGCATACAGGGTATACATAGGTATACAGGGGGGTATACATAGGTATACAGGGTATACAGGGTATACAGGGTATACAGGGTATACAGGGTATACATAGGTATACAGGGTATACAGGGTATACAGGGTATACATGGGTATACAGGGTATACAGGGTATACAGGGCATACATAGGTATACAGGGTATACAGGGTATACATAGGGCATACATAGGTATACAGGGTATACAGGGTATACAGGGTATACAGGTATACAGGGTATACATGGGTATACAGGGTATACATACAGGGTATACAGGGTATACATAGGTATACAGAATACATGGGTATACAGGGGTATACATAGGTATACAGGGTATACAGGGTATACAGGGTATACAGGTATACATGCATACAGGGTATACAGGGTATACAGGGTATACATATACAGGCATACAGGGTATACAGGGCATACAGGGCATATATAGGGTATACATAGGTATACAGGGTATACAGGGTATACATAGGCATACAGGGTATACAGGGTATACATAGGTATACAGGGTATACATAGGTAGGTACAGGGTATACATGGGTATACATAGGTATACAGGGTATACATGGGTATACAGGGTATACAGGGTATACATGGGTATACAGGGTATACAGGGTATACAGGGTATACAGGGTATACAGGGTATACATGGGTATACAGGGTATACAGGGTATACATGGGTATACAGGGTATACAGGGTATACAGGGTATACATAGGTATACAGGGTATACAGGGTATACATAGGTATACAGGGTATACAGGGTATACATAGGTATACAGGGTATACATGGGTATACAGGGTATACATGGGTATACAGGGTATACAGGGTATACATGGGTATACAGGGTATACAGGGTATACAGGGAGCACATGGGTATACAGGGTATACATGGGTATACAGGGTATACATGGGTATACAGGGTATACAGGGTATACAGGGTATACAGGGTATACATAGGTATACAGGGTATACAGGGTATACATAGGTATACAGGGTATACATAGGTATACAGGGTATACATGGGTATACAGGGTATACAGGGTATACATGGGTATACAGGGTATACATGGGTATACAGGGTATACAGGGTATACAGGGTATACATGGGTATACAGGGTATACAGGGTATACAGGGTATACAGGGTATACAGGGTATACATAGGTATACAGGGTATACAGGGTATACATAGGTATACAGGGTATACAGGGTATACATAGGTATACAGGGTATACATGGGTATACAGGGTATACAGGGTATACAGGGAGATAAACAATCTATTACTATTACATGAAGGATATATCTATTTGGCGTAAGCGTAACATGAAAGAATAACCGCTTTGCTTCCAAGCCTTTTACCTCAGCTTTCTTCAACATTTCCCCCGGAGTTTTTCAAAAAAGTTTCATCTTATTCATAAAAACAGCATGTCGACTTTCACTGGACTTGTTAGATTATTTTCCAGAAGAACTGCTAGAGTGTTATCCAGTAAAAACGTGGCGAATACCTTCCAAAGTTCCTGTCGAGCAAGGTCTATCTTTGCAGCAACAACACGTGGTGCTTCACAGAATCTTAGATATGCCATTCCATGTGCTTGTACCAAAGTTTCTGCTTGTGAAGTGCATAAATACACTCAAGGTTGGTTCTACAGCAACTTTTGTGGCCTTTGTTCTTATTTTCCGAGAAATCATGGTGCATTATTCCGTTCTCTGAACAGCTGGCGGATGCTGTCTAGGCTGACATGGGAGAAAATAGAGGCGGAGTGGGGGGGGGGGGTTGGATAGATAGTGAGGGGTTCATACTACTTGTGAGAATCCAGAGACGTCGACAGTGTTCTTCCTGAAATGCTGCCCAGGTTTCTGGCAATTTAAGAAAACTATGAATGCCTCAAAATATTTTCTTCATATGCATTCGACCAATCTTATGAGAGATCAGGACACATGAGCTAGCTGAAAACCATGATCTTTTTCCTGTGGCATCTTGTGGCTTAGTTATCCAATGCCTGATTGGCAATTTATCTTGCAGCATGATGGTATTGCATTGCTTAATAAAGTATTGTATTGATTGTATAAAATGAAAAGTGACAATTTGTTTTGTGGAGAAATAGTTGCCCTCGTAGTTGATGCATATACTAACAGAAAATTACAGTGGTTACCACTAACACTTGCCGTCAAAGGGTTTTTTCTTCAGCTCAAACCTGCGATTTGGTGGACGTCAATCAAACATTACCACGGGTTTCACACATTGGACAAGAAAAGATTCTTTCCCTGTTTCTCGAGCACTCAAAGGAAAATGTCAGCATTTAAACGGTTTTTGCGATATTTTGCTACAGGATCTGATACCATATCATCTCAAGATTACGAGGGATATGAATTTGTTAAGAGTTTGTTGGAGGAAACTCAAATTATGGACTTATTTACTCACTGTAAGGCTTACTCAATACGCTCACAACTTGTCTGAGTTCTTGCTAGTTCTGATTTCTATTCGATAACATGAAAATGATAAGTAGATCTGCAGTTTACAAAATTCATTTCCGAAAACAGCCTCCATTCAGAGGAAACTTTTTTCCCTTGTTCAGTGTGATATCTTTCATTTCTTTGAATTTCTACTCCTTGGCAATTCGACGTCCACGGCTCCCGTGTTTTCATACAAACAAATAAACAACCTGAAAACCTTTACGTAAACTATAGAGAGTGTTTTGGCTATTTCACTCAGCTCGCAGAGACCTCGTTGTTTTAACAATGTAATCCTTCATCATAATGAAATGATTAAAAACCCTGTCGTCATGTAAATTTTTTAATTATTCTTGTAAGCCTTCGCCCTTCATTCAGCGATGAATGAACTCTCTCTGTCAGAGTGCATGAGAAAACTATGGAGACAGTTGATTGACCTCCACGAAAACTGGTTTCAACAGAGAAAAAAAAACCCTTTCTGAGGGCGCATGTTAGTGGTAACTGCTGTAATAGACTAAGGCCTAAATATATACTGAATATATACAATGTTCAAGTGACACAACTATGGGGAATGGGCAATGTACAGTGGAACTTTGATGTAACAAAGGGGCAAGGGACTGGCAAAATTAGTTCGCTATAACGAGATTTCGTTATTTTGAGGTTCCTTTTCATATATTTTGCTATTACTGGAGTAAAGAATATCGTTCATTATACCGAGGACTTTGTTATATAGAGGTTTGTTATATCAAAGTTCCACTGTAATTTGAAAAGGGGAAGTGACTTTTTGACAAGTTACCAAAAATCTACCTCTGAAAAGGACTGAAACCATTGTCCATCTTTCCAAATTTTGCAGCTGACAGTGAACTAATGAATTTCCTCAAACAAGAAATACAACATGAAAGAGATAATGCATCGAAAGTGTCACCTTCAACATTATTTCAGGTAAGACAGCATTAAAGATTCGAAGCAGAACTGCACTCTACAGCTGGACAATGTTGAAACAAATGTCCCATTTTTTTAATGTTCACAGACAAAGGTAGATGGCACTCAAGTTTCAATGGAAAGAGAACACAATGGTGAAAGGTGGGCCCAATTAACTTGCTACTTAATACTTGAGTTTCCTCCCCATCCATTTGCTTATTTCCTTATTTTCCGTAATTTGCTTCAAATTCCTGATAACTCAAACTCCTGATAACTTGAAGTTTTTTTGATTTCCATAGAAGGTTCAAGTTATCAGGAGTCGACTATACTTGAAAAGTAGTTTTAGTCTGCGAATGATAAATGATCATGAGGTTCTTTAGGTTGAGCTTGTTAAAGTTACAGATAAGATATTAAACAACTTTTCCTAAAAAAATGTGCCCCTAGAGCCTGTGGCACGTACAGTTGTGTCTGTATTCATCAAGTTCCACTGTATATGATTTCCATTTATACATTAATTCAAAGAATATTTCATCCTCTAGATATGTTATGTTTCATCAGATACTTCTACTCAGACAAAACTCGAGACATTTCCATTTATCTCTTGAACTATGCAGAATACTACAGTGTCATCCAACCAGAAAAGTTGCCCCTCCCCCCACCCACCCACATTCAATATTGTCTCGGTAGTCAGTATGTTGTCTCAACTAGTGTTGTTCAAGGTTATCACAAATGCCCATATCCAGTAAAGAAGTAACTAAGACAGTTACCTCAGTAATATTTTCAAGATGTTTCTCATGTGTGATTTTTGAAGTAGGAATGTCTATGGAGCTATAAACTCAAAAAAAAGATATTTTTTCTGGTATTGTCATTGACTGTAACTATTTCTATCTGGTTAGTCTTGAAGTAGACAAAAATTCATTGTCCTGAACAGAGCTGTTGCTAAGATTTGAGTTGTTAGGTATATCTGTAGGCAGAGAATTAAACAGCTAGGAATTTCTCAAGGGTCTATTTTCCTTTTGTTCCTTATGAAACTAACCAGGAATTATGCTCATAGGACGCAGGAATCCCAGCCCTTTGTGACAACCGTGCTAATGAATTACCATTAAGAATAATTTTTCCCTGAAGACCAAAATGTGCCAACCTCTCACAAGGAATGTTTTTTTCCAGAATATGTTTTTACTAGGCAAATCATTAAACCACCTTCAAAGTTGCTGATGTGAAGCACCTTTTCCCCTTATTTTAGTGCTAACACAAACAGTCTGTAGGGGCTGATGCATGTCTATGCCAATTTGATTTGTCTACATACTAGGATTGTTTTGTCATTTGATCTGAATGAGAACATAAACCAAGATGAAGGAGGTGCAGATGTTGATGCTGGTAGTGACGATGAGGAAGCTTTCTTAGGAAAGGTTAAATTGTATTAGATTACTGATAAATGATTTTCAACCCAAGCAATACAATTCACACACTCAAATCAAAAAGAAAAATTAGACTGTTTAAAGTCCCCTATTTTTTCTTATAAAGATTGTTGAGGTCAAGTGCTTGTTGTAACAAGCTACCAGGTGTCTTGGTTTCATGTATTGAGGGGTGGGTGTCAGGGTTTTATAGCCTTTGGGGAGGGAGTGGTTAGAAAAATGTTTTCTTCATCTCCTCCCAATCTGTCCCCTCCTAGGTAGACCTGAAATAGAACCCCAGTAACTCGAAAACCCCGCTAACTCGAACTAAGTCTCATTTCCCTTGGATTTGACGCTACTTTTCAGTCACTTTTACTCCGAAAACTCATACTTGGATAACTCAAATTCCCCGCTAACTTGAACTAAATTTTGTTTCCCTTGATTACAATTTACCTGAATAACATTATTCTGGTTCTTGCAACTTACCACAAATGCCATTCTATTAGCTTTTCTTGTCATGTAATCGGTAAAACCCCTAAAACCAACACTATAGCAATTAGTTTTTAATAAGTACAACAATCAGATCACGCATTTAACAGTCTTTTCCCTGTATTATTATAAAAATGCATAATCCTGTTACAATTTCTGATGAGATAAGTTTATTTGCACTCTGCTGTATACTGAAGTGCTGAAATTTCAGTAAACTATCAATATTGAAATAGCAAAAATGAAGATTCAGTTGACCCTGATAACTTGAATCCCCGCTATCTCGAACTGTTTTTTGTTTCACCTCAGAGTTCGAGTTCCCTGGGTCCTACTGTAAGTTCAATCTTAACAGCCTTAGAAAAAATAGAGGACTTTTAACAGACTAAGGGTAAATTTATCTAGCCAGCAAATCAGAAAGAAGTCAGTAGTCACTTGATAAACTTGTTTCAAAAGCTTGAATGTACATAGACAAGTACGTATTTTCTTAATCGAAGGAAAGGTTTGCTTTGTTGATAGAGAATTTCACCTGTGATCGATTATCACAATAGCAGTTTATTAAGGGTGTGGTGTAAACAAAACATGGACCCTCCCTTCTGGACCCCCCTTTTGGACCCCTTTTTGGACCCCCCTCTGGATCCCTTTCTGGACCCCTCTTTTTTTTAAAATAAAAATAAAAAATAAATAGATAATAAATATACTAAAAAACGCAAGCAAACAAATAATAAAGTCCCTTACCATCACTCCGTGTTGCACATTTTACCATGAAGCTCGAAAGGTGACTGGATGGGGTCCAGAAAGGGGGCCAAAAGGGGATCCAGAAAGGGGTCCAAAAGGGAGGGTCCACGTTTTGTCTACACCAGTTTATTAATTAATCCTCCTCTTTTTTGTTTATTATCAGATTGTGTCGTATCCATCATTTACTGTGGAAATCACAAAGAAAACTGTAAGTAGTAGACATCTGTTTGGTTGTATTGTAATTTTTAAAGTCTCTGTTTAATAATTACATGTAAGTCTGCTAAATGAAATTACAATCTCTGCCTTTGCCACATGTTATTCAATAAATGTATTTTTTATTTATTTACCTGTATAAGCTTTTAGGAAAGTACAGGAAGCTTAGTTGCCTGGGAAAACAGCTGTTTCTCCTCGCTTTTCACCGCTGGGGACGTTTCGCGTTGAGGAACATCTACGACTCAGCGTCAGAAATTCCATATTGATGACGTAAATCAATGTTTACATAATATATCTGGTAGTCATGGGGTTCCACATGCACATTTGTTGAATTTTACATTTCTCCTGGTCGATTTTAGTAAAGTGTTGTGTTCATCTTCAAACGAGCTCCAGCAAAATTCAAATGCTTCTTCTAGAGAAGAATATATTCCACTAGTTTTGACTGTTTTCTAAGAGATTCGTCGCACATTTGACGTTCATGGCCTTTTGTCTTTTGTCTGTCATTCGTAAACAACAGGTGAAACAGTGTAACTACTCCGTCGACCAAACAGCACTTCTGACTGGATTCTGGACAGATTTTACATCGTCAGTATAGAATTTCTGTCACTGAGTCACAGACATTATTCCTCACGAAATGACCTCAGCGGTGAAGAGTGGGGAGAAACAGTTGTTTTCACAGGCTAGAAGCTTAGCGTTTTTATGTTATGTCATCCTTTCTTTGATGTAATCTTGATCTAGTAACCTTAATTATGCCATAACATGCTGGTCTTTTCACTGTGTCTTCAAATATTATTTTGCTTTTCCATAATGTTTTAGGGCCATACTCTTAAGTTCTACTGTGAGTTCAGCTCTGACCTAGGGGAAGATTATTTATCTGACAGTGAAGTTGAAGGTGAAAGAGCTGCACCAGAAATGGTTCATATAATAAATGTATCAGTTATGGACTCACCTAACAGAGATAAAGAGAAAACTATCTACTGTGCTGAGACAGAAAACATGGATAGTGTAAGTACATGCTTGTGAATGTCAAGTATCCAAACAGACCTGTCATTGAATCTTCTTTAGGTGACAATGCACAGTACCAAGAGAAGGTGTTTTTTTAATGAAGGTTGAAACTCTTTATAGGCTCTATTACTAGCCCCTGGTTGGGAAAATGAGCCAGCACTTTATCCCCTTTAAGAGATCTTCAGGGAAGATCAAAGACTAGACTTGCGAGAGGGCAGAATTCGAGCCTGTGACAACATGTAATACCACAGGGCTTTCATTTTGTACCAAAATAGCTCTTTACACTATTACTAAAAATAGGTTTTGTCACCTAAGACCCCCCTGCGTGGGGGAAAATTGTTCATAAAATTCGCAGGGAGCGGTTTTTACAATGTTTCTTGAGCTTTATTCTTCAGAATAATAATATAAAAGGTACTACTGCTATAGGGAGCAAAACCTGGTCCAAATCACTCAAATAAATGGTTAAAATCAGAAAATAAAGCGACTCGATCAAAGAATGCTACTGAAATCGGATCCCTACTAAAACATGACACCACATTATTTCTGGCTGTGTAATACTCCAAAACCAAAATTTGAGTCTGTATGTGCTTCTCGCAAGCCTGTGGCAGAATTTCTAAGCTTAAAAGCACACTAACATTGGCGCAAACTAGAAATTGTGTGAGTTTGTTCTGTTGTTGTGTGGCCAGGTAGATACCACAGTACTTTACATTCTGTAAATACTAAGTAGCGTAACATAATCATTCAAAAAGAAAAATTAAGCAACCTTTGCCTATAATTTTAACCCAATGCACCGTTTTATGAACAGCTTTGAAGCCCTGCTCTCCACACATTTCTTAGTAAAATGCTGTAACATAACTTAATGACACCTCATAAGCTCACATAAGAAATAAATTATCACTCATCTGTACAGTTTTGCTTTGATTATTTTCAGGATATATGTTTTCGAAACCAAGCTAGACTTTGTTTCCTTTGACATTAAAAACCTTCAAAGACGACAAAAATTTTTAGCGATCATGATTTTCCCTTACAAAACTCTTATGCTGGTCAGGTTCAATGTCTGAGTAACAGCAGGGCCCAGAAATTTGTGACATCATTAGTGCAAAGCACTATTAGACATCGTTTAATCCTCTTTCTCTCTCATCTCCAAGTTATGGTATCCATGTTACAGGTCAAAAGTTAATTCAGGGTAAATTTTTTTTACCTGGGTTGATTCTCCATTTTCCTCCTAGCACTAATTCATGAATAATTAGGGCTAAAAGACAAGGGAGACTGAGAATCACCTAGAGTAACAAATTTTAACCTGAATATAATTTTGACCTGTAACATCCACAACAAGAAACTATGACTTACATCCTTTTATTTTGACAGAACTTGTATGTGATGCTTTTGAATATGTTGGCTGAGAGAGGAGTGAACAATGACTTTTGCCAGTGGCTTCTTGACTACAGCACGTCTCTAGAACAGCAACACTATATAAAATTTCTGGAAGATTTGCAAGGATTTGTCAAACTTCAGTAAACTTGTGGCAACAGCATTTTTCGTAACTTCATTGAAACACTTAGCAACAGCTAGATCCATATTACTGTTTGTGTGTTTTTTAGGGGCAGATTTCATTTTGCTGGTTAACTGGTAAATATTAGTATTTGAGGTTATATTAAATCAAAAAGAATTATTCAACAATTTTACAATAACTGTGAGTGATTTCTTGTTTGCTCATTGGTTGAAAGCTATGGTTTATAACAGTACTGATAAAACTAGACCATGGAATTGATTCATGGAAATGACTCATCACGATTTGGCTGCAGAGCAGACAGCATTATTGTTGGAAACTTTGTAAAAAAAAATCATTGTTTATTTTCTTTTTCTCCAGATCAGTATCATTGTTTGTGGTACATTATCTGGTTGTTACAAGTCAGGATAATCGGCATTTACTGTAGAACGTGCTTGCTTAGGCACAATCTGTGCACTACTAGCCACTACTCTATGTATAATGCATATTTAGATTGAGTTTGGCTCCAAAATCCTGCTAGAAGAAAGTGAAAGTTCTAGCAATAATGAATTTTCTTGTACTCCAGAATTTGACCAATATTGAAAGCTCTTCAAGGTTAGAGTCTTCTTATCCATTATTTCCATCATAAAGGCACTGCCTGGGTGTAAAGAGAATGAGAGTTTCGAATTCCTCTTACAGGCAGCCAGTGCACTTCTTTGTCCATTACGAGAGAAAAATCTTCTAAAATCACATGCTAGGCAGCCTGAATTTCACAGGTTCTGAGCACTGAGATCCCTTCAAATTTTGTAAGGATACAGCATAGAAATCATAACCCATAAGTCCTAACCCCATCAATTTTCAAGCCATTTTCAGTTTGCCCAATGCTTTTATCTAAACACCATTTATCTTTAACAATTTCAATAAAGGATTTAGTGTAGACTTGAAAAGCACTTGTTTTCTTAAATTAACCCACTAAGAAAGAGATGTGGAGGTCCCATGATTTCTTAAACCGTGGACTAAGTTAGACTTTGTTTAAATAACCGACCCAATGTGTTTAAGAGAACAAAAACAGCAGGAGCAGCAAAAAAGAAAAAAGCCCAGTTAGTTAAGACCTAGGTACAGCTGTAGATTGAAATATGCTTTTAAAGACGGCAGTACAATCTATCTAAGTCAGTCCAAAGATAAAACAACTGTGTAAAACAATTATTATTCATAAAATGTTCATTGAGGGGAAGGAAAGTCATAATGCATGAAAATCTTGAGTTCTAGGCCATAACAAGCTTCTAGAATTGTGCACAGCACATTAATCTTGAATATGAAATGATAACTGCCTAGCTTGATGTCTTCTTCGTGGTTTGACCATGACCTTGTGCAGGAGAGATGCACTATCTTTGAGTTGTCTCTGCAGGTGTACATTTATGTCACTAAATAGAGAGCTAAATGACAAGGAAATGTCAAATAAATTATTTTTGATTGTTGGCTACTGTCCTCCAACTATGAAGTGTGGCTCTTCCTCATCCTCATTCTCCCCCTCATCATCTTCACTTTCACTGTTTTCTTGTTTTTTATCGATATCTTGAGGTTAAAGCAAAAGAAACTGTAAGTTAACACTGTAGGTTTGCACAAAACATAATGCCAGACATATAAGTGAAGTGGTTAACTGGGCTGAATATGAGAAGTAAGCAGTTACTCTCAACATAAAGATTTACTCATGCAGCTGATCCCAACCAGCTACAGTAGAAACCCTTTTCATCTTCTGTTAAAATAAGTAGAAATAACAACTCACCGTCATCTTTCCTTTCCTCTTTCTTCTTTTTAGCACTCAGCTTTTTCTGTTTTTTCCTTTGTCTGGGAAAAAGAACATAATTTAAAACATTATGGTTGCACATCCACATTTCATTAACAAGGAAAGAGCCAAAGCCAGGGCTTGAGTGATGGGACTCGGGTACCCCTTGAAGATCTGTTTATGTAGCCTGGGAAAAAGCTCTCCTATTTGGGCGAGCGAAGCGAGTCTTGCAAGAATGCACAAGGGAGCTGCGAAGCATTCTCGCAAGGCTTGCTTCACTCGCTCAAATAAGAGAGCTTGCTCGCAGGCTACTGTTTATGAGGCCCTGTTAACCCTTTAGGTCCGAAGAGTGACCAACATCAATTTTTCCTAAAAACATCAGCAGATCATGAGAGTAAAGGTTATGAGAATTAATAAATTGACTACCAAAAACCATTCAACTATTCTTAAAATAAATGGGTGGAGATCAGTCTGGAGAATTTGTATGTGGATCTTGGGGCTTAAAAGGTTAAGGGTAAAATTCTGACAAGTAACATGGCCTTAGTATAACAACATAAGACAGATGAAGTAGTGACAAATAACACATAGTAAAAAAAAAATAACACACAGGAAACAAAGTTCAAAATTCAATAGTAAATATATTTCATACCAACAGGAACAATGCCTCCTTTTCGATACTTGAAATGAAGGGTTTAAAATTCAAACAAGGGACATGCATACCCCCTTAAGATGGCTTTATTGATTTTATTACTGGTGATAGACCTCCCATGCTTGGGCAGAAAAGCATTGTTGTCAACTCCATATGGGGTCTAGTTAAGGTGGAAGACAGGGGCAATTTCAAGAAAACTTTATGATGGGAGGTCCATCAAGCTTTTTACAACTGCTGTAATAATTATTTTGTTTAAGAGTACTGAAGTTAATAAATATGAAATCATCCAGGCTGATAGCCTCAAAAAACAGAAGACATGTCACGATTCCACCAACGGTTTTCCCGCAAAATGATGTCTGAGAAACGAGTGCAGAAATTCGGTGCTGATGATAATGACCCATTACTACCCAGATCTGGGTACTGCTTCTGATTGGTTGTGCTGCGTCATTAGTATGGAATTTCTGCACTCATTTCTCACATGTCATTTTGCAGGGAAACTGTTGGTGGCATTGCAAAATGTTGTCTGTTTTCTCAGGCTACCAGGCCAATGAGTACATTTAGGTTGGGTTCCCAACTTCACCTGCCCCTCCCCTAAATTGAGATTACTTGAACAATAAAAATACCTTTTAGCTCTTTTCTTTGCTGTTTTTTCTTCTGCTTGAGTTTTATTTTGTTCAAGCTTCTTATGATAGCTTTCATCAAGTTCATGCTAAGTGAACAACAAATAAGATGACTGTGTTTTTGTTGTGTAAAGAGTGACTGAGGATAAAAAACAATGTTTATTATAACAGTCAAAACTCTGTTAAGCAACCACCTATTAAGTGGCCACCCTACATAAATCAGCCAGCAATCACAGTCCCAAACTAAAAATGTATAAAAGAATAAATTGTAAATTAAACTTTCCTAAGTTGGGATCGTGAAAATGATATATTTGCCCAAAAGTGACTAAGATGGGGTCTATAATAATTATAGGCCACAGAATAGACTATAACGGGATAGGGGCTCTGAGAGGCCAGCTGCACATACCCAGCAAAAATTAACCCAAGCATCCCCCCCAGGTCTCTGTAAAGTGGCTGTGGCCATCCTTTGGCCATCCTGAAAAGAGTTCTTCTTTTGTTGTCACCTCTGTTAAGCAGCCAAGAGGGTGAAGAATATGGCCCAGTGTATGCCACTCCTGACATGTGTATGTTTCAAAATAAAGTGATGTTTGTGCTTAAGATCATGAATTTTGCTGGTACACCTGGGGTGGCCACTTAATGGTTATAAATATGGTAAACAAAAATGTATTAAAGGTAAGCTATACTAAGGCCCTGTACAATGAAACAATGAGCAAGTCGGAAAGAATTTCAAAATATAGCATTCTATTTTAAATGGGTGATAGATTCCATGATCATACTTGTTCTGCTATTTTTTCAATGTAGGCCACTCTGTTGTATTCTCTTCTTCTTGTAGCACGGTAAACATGGAATTCTCCACTCCCTGCACCAGCACTGGATCCTGGCAAAATTAAGGTGGAGACATGTGACACTTCAGACAATCACCACTGGTTTCCCTGTGAAATAGTGACTGGGCATCGACTGCAGAAAGTCCATAGTGATGATGCTCACAGATCTACCCAGATCTGGGTAGTGCTCTTAATTGGTTGAAGCAGATTTCTCTTGCGACAGGACCAATCAGAAGCGCTACCCAGATCTGGGTAGTGACACATCATCAGTATGGAATTTCCACCCTCGTTGCTTGGACATCATTTCACAGGGAATTCACTGGTGGCGTCGTCAAATGCAGCTTTTTTCTCAGGATTACTTGGAATAAGATTAGTAATCAATACAGTCATATGTCTGAAATGTCTCTCCCCCACCTCTCCACCCCCAACCCAAGAGAGGTGCTCATGGGTTTGGGGGAGGAGGCAATTGACATTTCAGATTAGGGAGCTTAAGCTAAGCAACAGTGAAAACAAGAATGGGGAAAAAAAGTGATAGGTTTTGATTAGCAAAACAACTACTTTGCACTTGCATCTCGCTTTTTTTTTGTACATTTCTTTGTAAATGTCAGGGGTATTTTGCAGAACGCTGAATGCAGAACACCGACTGGCTCAGAAGTTTGGTGATACAAGTTAGGAAACTGAGTGAATCAAGTTTCAGGTCAGTTTTCCCAGTATAATGACCCTAAATAAAACCCGATTCATTCAGTTCGTGACGTTAACCCTAATCACTAAACTTCAGAGTCATTTGGCATAATTTCTGCATTTGGTGTTTGGGGAACTGCAAAACACTGAATGACTCTAAAGTTTAGTGATTAGGATGAGGAAACTGAGTGAATTACGTTTCAGGTCTGTTTTCCCAGTTAAATGACCCTAAGTGGAACCTGATTCACTCAGTTTCCTAACCCCAATCACTAAACTCAGAGTCATTCGGCATTCAGCATTCTGCAAAATACCCCTGCCGCTTTGTAAACCAACAATGCCTCAGCAAGATTCCCCTCTTGCAACCACAATTAAGTCACAGAAGAGGGTAACCTTCACAGACTATTGTTTCTTTCACAAACTTTTTCTAAAATATCTCCATAGTATTTCCTACAGGTCAACAGTTCCTCACTTCACGAAGAAGAGAGAGTGGCACAGATGAAGTGGAGAGAGATGTAGACACAGTCAACTCATCATGTACATACCTATTTAATTCAATACATGCAAGCTTTAAGTATAATACATAACTTCGACGATACTGATGATAACGGCAAAAACTCACCCATCACAAATCGAACGAATTCGGGGGCTTCTGATGGTTTCCACTGCTTCGGAAGTTCAGGAATTGACACTGGTTTGTCCTGTCAATTGACAACATAAAAACAAGTGAAATTGTCCTCCCTAGCTAGAAAATTCTTTATTCATAAAAAATTTTCTCCAGGTCATGATTTGGATGATAGTGTTATAGCTTACAGGGTCCTTCATGAGCTTTTCGAGCTTCATCTTCTGTATTTCCGTCGCACTTCGAGGAACGAAAGGTTTTTCAGATGATTTTCCTTCTGCCTTTTCTTTGTCACTTTCATCCGCCATCTTTGTTTTTGTTAGATTCCAGTCCTGTCTCTTCAAAGTTCAGAAAGTCCTCTATGTAAGATCAGTGAGACGTGACAGAGCCGGAGACAACATGGATGGTCGCAGTTTGACAGTGTTTGCTGCTGCAGCAGCGATTGGGGCAAGTTTTTATGTATTTTTAACTCCTGATGGAAAGAAAAAGAAGGGAGTCAAAAGAGGTAAGTGTAAGATTGTTTGACAGTCCTGCGTTGCCCCTCTGAGTGATGCTGCCTCAACTTTGATGAGAGACAACAGGCTCACAGTTTCATTTGAAAACACCTCTCATCATCATCTCTTCAGCCTCGCCTTTGCATGCGGTTTTGTAGACTTTTTGAAAATGAAGGCCATTATATATTATTATTCATTCAAAATATTTCTCCGTTTTTGACTGATTTTTATCCCCTGGCTAATTCTTCATAACCAGCCGGCGCTGACCAAATTTAGAAGATGCTTAGATTGTAATACATGTATAGCATCATTGATGAGATCAATTATTCAGACGTCAATGATCATATATTGCAAATTATCCACAATTGTCATCATGCAAGACGGGTGCAGCAGTGTAGCAGTTTTGGCATGTGCACAGAACTCCAAAAAATACAGAAATATATCACAGTCATATATAATCACCAAATATTTATGATATATATCTAATTATTAGTTAATTTAATTTTACTTTAAGTCTTATTTTGAAACTCAGAAAACTGTTAACACCAGCCTAATCCCAAGATGTTCTCTCTTGCATCATTTTCCGTTCAAAGTCTCGGAAACAGTGGGTGAGAGGATGTTCTCGACAAGCCCCTCTCACAGGTCATGGTAAAGTCCAGTTTTGACCTAGCTGAGATTTTTTAGGGGCTAGGCTACACGAAGACCAGAAATATTTCTGCAATGTCATCGTATTGAAAGGAAAAAGTCAATCAGGCAAGAGATGAACTAATCTGCAAATAACAACAGTAATCAGTTTTTGGTTTTGTATGTTCTGATCTCTGTTGTGAATTGTCACAAAACAATAGATGTTCCAGAAATCTTTCATGTATTCATGGTTTTCTGAGTTTGACAGTGGAAGAACAAAGACTTGTGTATTGTTATATGAGAGAGTATGGATATTTTTTTGGAAAAACACATATATAAATTTTTGTTGGTGAATAATATTGTAGTGTACATCCGGGACTTCCCCAGCGCGGGAAGTCTGGGATCATGTGACTAGTTGAAGTAGTGTTTCTGTAGTGTAGCGGGCGAACGAAGTAGTGCTCACGTTTGACAAGACTATTAGCCTCGGTGGCGCATTAGCAATACTACATTGGCGACGAGGATGGTTCCAATGAGTGAAAAGGCCTTACTGCCGTTGGATTTGACCGGTCCTGCTTCACGAGTGGCGGAGCGATGGCGTAAATGGAAGCGTGCGTTTGAATACTTTGCCGAAGGAAAGGGCATCGATAATGTTCGTAAGAAGACCTCATTACTCTTACATTTTGCTGGTATGGATGTACAGGATATCTTTGAAGATTTACAAGATCCTGGTCCTATTCCGGAGAGTGGTGACAATGTTTACAAAATCGCTATTCGCAAATTGGATTCTTACTTTCGAGCGACATGGATGCCTGAGAGACCGTGGCAGGACCTAGCGTTGGACCTACTGGGCCCTATGCCAACAGGAGAGTCTTTGCTGGTCCTAGTGGATTATTTTAGCCGATGGGTGGAGGTTGACGTCATTAAGTCCACCAGTTCAGAAGCGATAATTAAGTGTTTAGACAGACAGTTCTCTAGATATGGAGTACCGAGTACCTTGAGATCAGACAACGGACCCAACCTTGTGTCTGCTGAAATGGAGGAGTATCTGGATAAGATGGGCATTAAGCACAGGCTGACCACCCCACTATGGCCGAGAGCAAATGGAGAGGTTGAACGGCAAAATCGTTCTCTTTTGAAAGCAATGAGAGTTGCGCATGCTGAGGGAAGAGACTGGAGGTTGGAGTTGAACAAGTTCCTCCTGGCATACCGCTCCACCCCGCACACAACTACCGGCAGGAGTCCCGCTGAGTTACTTAATGGGAGGAAAATGTCTACTAAATTGCCAGAGGTTGCTGATTTGGAGGAGTCTGAAGAGCTGGGATATCAGCAAACCAGAGATCGTGATGCGGAAAAGAAGCAGATAGGTGCAGATTATGCTGACAAGAGACACCATGCAGCAGAGAAGTGTGTACAGGAGGGAGACCTTGTGTTGCTGGAGAAGAGGAAGGAGAATAAGCTGTCTTCACACTATGAAAAAGAGCCATACCAAGTAACGGCTCGCTATGGGGATCAGGTCCAGCTGAAGTCACCCCAAGGCGCAGAGTACAGGCGTAATGTTCAACATGTCAAGCGATTTGTGATTCCGGACAGAGAGCCCCAGGAGCAGCAGCCTGCAGGTCCTGTAGCAGTACCTAATGAGCACGCACTAGGACAAGAAACCACACCCAGTTTGGAGACAGAAGGAGGGGCTAGTCCAGCTGATGGTCCAAATCAGGAGCAGCTGTTACCAAGGCGATCAGGGCGAGTGACCCGACCCCCCGAGAGACTTAGTGACTATGTTACCACCTGAGGGGGACAGTTACTTTGCTATGACAGTGGCAGCTTTGATAAGGCTGTGCCTACGGAAGTGTTAATTTGTATCAATTGTACCTTTAAAAGACACTGTTGACATTTTCATGTTACTTAATAGTAGTGAGACTTTGCAAGTGAAGAGAGGGAGGGATGTAGTGTACATCCGGGACTTCCCCAGCGCGGGAAGTCTGGGATCATGTGACTAGTTAAAGTAGTGTTTCTGTAGTGTAGCGGGCGAACGAAGTAGTGCTCACGTTTGACAAGACTATTAGCCTCGGTGGCGCATTAGCAATACTACATGAATGTGTACATGTAAATAATGTTCCATTAAATTCCAATTCACATCTTCGCCCGCATTTCCTAGCCAATGGCTACTGCTGGTATGTTTTTTAATAAATTTGGTCAATTTCTCCAGTATGTTGGCAGTCTAGATGGTCAAATTAATACCCCACTAGCTTGCACTTTAAAAAGTGTTAATACATAATCAGTTCAGATGAAATTTGTTCAATGTTATTGTTGTTTTTCTTATCATCAGATCACCCTCCTGGCCTGGTGAATCTTGGTAACACTTGTTTCATGAACTCCATTTTACAGGTTTGTACTTGTATTGCTATAATTTATGTAATGTTTAAAATGCAAACAGAAAATTTGAGTGCAATTTTGCAATTTAAGGCTACTCCTTTTGAAACATTGTGCGGGGCAGCCTACAATATTTCTATGTTGTTGTGAATTTAATGGCAGTAAGTCCTCTTTGCAAGATCTTTCCAAGAGAAGTTTTGGATAGTTTGGCACACACTCTACATTATGAGTCTTTTCTCACACAAACCAGTAATAATGCTTTGTGTTATTTTTTACAGCATATGCGAGGACCTGATTTACTTAAAAGATGCTTGGCTTTTTTTTTCCATTTTTAGGGCCTCGCATTCTTGCCGTCCTTTGCAGCATGGTTACAAGATATTTCTGATGAAGGAGATGGAAATTCTCTGACATCTTTGGCTATGGAACTGAAGAAAATAATGAAAAGTATGTGGCTGTTTATCAACCATATTTGATCCCACCACAGCCCCTTGATCCTCATTCAATATAAAGCTGTACAGTCATTTGTTTCTTTCAGTGCAACCACTACCCTTTGCAGTGAGCACTGGTAGAATAGATCAGCCTGTTGAGTTTATCACCTTGTGGGTGTCAGTTTTGTGGTGAATTAAGTTCCAAGTTTACTCAAAACGTTTTCTAGGACCAACCTAATCTCATACCCAGATCTCAGCCAAGCAAAAGTCTGAGTGAGATCTGGGCATGAGATTAAGACCAAACCAAGCACTGACCAGTTACTACATTTGAGAGAACTTTCTAATTTGTTTTAGTTTTCTCTTTCATGTTCCAGCTTTGAATAATGGTTGTATGGAAGGTGAAGATGTCATTTGTCCAGATTCTGTGTTAAAAGCCCTAAGCTCCCATGGCTGGATCATACCTAGTGAACAACAAGTTAGTAAAAACATAGTTACCATTTCAAAAAGAGCAATTCCACTGACTCAGAGGTGCAGTGCCTCTAAATGAGCACTGCACATATACTGGTATTTGCTGTCCGTGATTACAGTGGATGATGATGATGATGATGAGGAGGAGGATGATGGTGGTGATGGTGATGGTGATGATTTCAGTGATGATTGTGATAATGGATTGGTAATAGAGATTGTTATGATGGAGTTGGCAATTGATGGCAGTGGTGTTGGTGATGAGAAGTGATGGTGAGGATGTTTATTTATTAGTGACAGAGGACAATGATGCTTATGCTGGTGTCGATAGTGACTGAATGATTGTGACGATCGATGATGTATATGACTTCTGATGAATATGTTGACAATGATGGTGATAGTTAATTGATGATAATCTGATTATTGACAGTCCCAATAATATTTTTTGATGATTTAAGGTTGAGGATGATGATTTTATTGATAATGATAATGATGATAATGATTGATAGCAGTGTTGTTGATGATGATAGTGATACAGCAGAATGTTGATGATTATTTATGGTGATGATGACTAGAATATGATGATTTATGATGGTAATGATTTAAGATTGTTGAGGATGTCGTTATTGACAATAACTAAATGGTCTGCTGGTGATTGATAATATTGATTACTATTCGTGATGATAATGATGGTGATGATGATGATGACAATGATAATAAATGATGTGATGATGATCAGTGATTTTGTTACAAATAGTTATGGTGAGTCCTGGGACTCATCCTGTCAAAGATTGTGAGTCCCAGTCCAGAACCATTGAGTCTGAGTTCAAAAAACAATGAATCCCTGATCATTATCAAATCATTGATATTTGAAATGATTATGATGGTAAGTCAATGTGATAATCACATTTCATTGATGATATGATAACAATGATGATGATGATGATGATGACTGTAAAAAAATTCATCATCCCTTCCAAGTAATACTGCGGCTGAAAAAGTTCAGTATTACTTGAAATTTAGATCCTTGAATATTTACTGCTGAAAATTGTTAAATCTAAACATCATCTCACCTAATATCATTTTTTACAGGATGCTCATGAATTCTTTCATGCCCTCTCATCTACTCTGGACGATGAAATGGTGAGAAGAGTGATTATTGTTATTTAAATTATTCTGTAACTTTGTTTCTTTTTAAAGAAATATTGGAAAAACTAATAAAAGATCCATTTTTTGGTTCTGTTTTTCAAAGGTTGTTCAAGTAATTTCTGTAAGGTTTTGGTCTTCTTAGTTTGCTTAGTTTTGCTTAGTTCTGCTTTGTTTTTTGTTTCCTGCAGGGAGAACTTCCTGGTGTCATGAATCTCAGTGATGTTGCAATTGTAGAGGTACCAGTGGCTCAATTTTTCAAAGTTAAAGATACAATGAGCCTTTTTACAAACATGTTTTCTTCCTTTTTTGACAAATTTTGAGAGTGCACATGCACATGCACTCACTCTGTTGAAAACTAATGAAGATGTTTGTATGGTGGGGGCAAGTTCATGCCCCCACCATATCAACATCTGTAAAAATTGGCATCATTGTGGAGTGATATCTTCACTCGCTGTGGATCACCTTTAACCCTTTCACTGCCAAATTTAGCCAAAGGCAAATTTCGATCAGATTTCCAAATTTCATTTTGTAAAATTTTGAAAAACAAATAGTACCATGTGTAAGTACAGGCAGAGAGCTTTCATCTGAATGGTCACATCATAGAATTTCGTCCGAAGACTCAAAAGTTAGAGCCACCTTACAAATTCCTTCAAACACTCTGACAGTTTCCTAATTTTAAGGCAATGTTTCCAGCAGTGTTGATGATTTTTGCCAGGTGGTCTTGATCAAAAGGATCAATAAGGTTTCTGGGAAACTGCCCACCTACCGCCCCCTCGCTTCCACCCCTCCCCCTCCCTGACTAAGCAATCATTTTGCCCCAAGTGAGAAGTAAGTGTTAATGTCAGCTTAGGGGAGGGGTAGGTGGGTACTTTCCAAGAAACCTAAATTGATCCGATCAAAACAATGAAAAAACCATGTAAGGGTTCATTGCCAATAGCAAAAGCTAATTGTGGCTTTGGGTGGTCAGTCATTCCCCTGCATTTTTGTATCTTCATGGTTGAAAAACTATAGTGTCTGTGAACAGGATACAATAAATTACATAAAAAGGAAGAAAAATGACAAGAAATGTTGATGTTTTCTTCCTGAAACCTGTTTGAATGTCAAGGGAATTACATTCACCTCTATTCATCTGAGTATCTAATTTTTTTGCAGAAGAATGATGTCAATGAAGACAAATCAATGGTACACAGAAACAAAGGTGCTCACTTGATATGGATGGAAGTAATTTAGATAAACTTCTCAAAGTCTCTTCTGTGCTCACATGCATAAGTACAAACATTAATGGCTGTTTACATGGAGGTGGGGGACCCCAGGTACGGAAGGTAACTTGCTTAGGTGAGGTAACACGCCTGTCCATATAATCTCTCATTTTAATTTGATCACATTTATATGATAGGTGAGGTGACCTGCCACATGTTACCTCATGTATCTGGGGTCCCCTACCTCCATGTAAACAGGCCTTAAGTGAGTTATATCTTTAACTGAAAAAATGTAAATACGCATCTCAGATTAATACGTATAGGTTAATAAAATAAAAATTATTAATTGTGAAGTGAAAATAATTGTGTCACCCCTCCTTAGATTTCTGTTAAACTGTTGACTTTGAGTGCATTCTTTTTGTAGTTCCTCTAAGAAGAGACTGTAACAAGCCTCATTTGCCATTCCATGGTTTATTAGCAAGTCAGTTGGTGTGTAAACAATGTGGAACAAAGGTAGGTTGACACAAACAGGAGTCCGTAACCCAGAGTGAACAACTTCCATGTACTCCTTTCAAAGGTCGAAACTGATTATCTTGAGAACTACTTTGGCACAAATTTTGACTATCTTTTAAGTGCGACAAACCAGTCAGAAAAACCTACAGACCTAAAATGGCATTTTGACCTTCTTATGACGATTAGTTTTCTTTTGGTAGCTTATACTTCAAATGCAAACAGACCAAGTGGAGCTTTCATTTTAGCAGGATTAAGCATTCTTAAATGTATCTAAAGGTAAAGCGGTCCGTGAAAATGCCATGTAATATGCCTGCTATGGAAGTTGCTAGCTCCAGAGTATGGGCCCTTGACACAAACATACATGTAAGAGGTGAAGGAGACATGACTACACTCCCCCTCTTCAACCCCCCATCTTACTTTTCACAGCACAGTCAACTCTAAAGGTGGTTCTCTGTCTACCATGTGTCGTCCTTGTCAGATTTGATTCTGGAAATTGCTAGGCGAGAAATATCAGGGAGAAAGAAGAACTTTCTGTTGTTAAAAATTATTGCTAAGCTTTGTGTTTGTAAAGCAAATCATGAAGGTGTTTTTACCTGATATTAGATTAAAGCTTTTGGGACATAAATTGAGCTCTAATTTGTAGAGGTGTGAAGATCAGCATGTTGAAAATTTCCTCTTTTGGTCATTTTATGCAAAGATAATTGAGTTGTCCAAATGCTATTGGCTGCAACTCATGTATGACAATTGGCCTTGCAATAAAAGCTGTGAGGTCTACCAGTACTGAAACAGACGATAACTGAATGAGTCAACACCAGCAATAAAACAATGTGTTCCTGAACGAAATACGAATCTTTTTTACGTTTAGATCCTGTTTGGTAGTATGGCTCCTCTCTCTCTCAACCATGGAGCTTAATTCTCCCATCAGAAAAAAAAAAAATGTTACAAAATGTTGATTTTCAAGGAGATACCATGTGATGGCTGTGGTTTTTGAATAAATGTAAACACAAGCCCGAGTATCTGAGAGAAAAAAAACATAGCCTGTTCCAAGGTTCTAGATAGTAGAGGTGTTGTGTTAGTAAAAGGCACTTGAAAATATGAGCCTGTGATCTGGGAAAAGGGGACGTGTTCATGCTTTCTCAATTTTGCGGACCTAACTATCTCGGAGCCTGAAACAGACTAAAAAAACTTGGCATTGGGTCCAGAATTCAAATTGGGCCACATGGGTGGGACAGAGTGTTGTCACCACATCTCCACCCATGCTCACTCCCCAAAGAAGACAGAGAGGGATCTGTTGTAAGGGGAATGTCTAACCTTTGTTTCTTGTATCATGCAGTGTCCAGTCAAGTTTGATAGCTATGACAGTTTATCACTCAGTTTACCATCAACATTTCAGGTATGTTTTCAATTTGGTTTACTAAATGCACTTTTTCTTGTAACTTTCTTTGACCATCCGAGTCAAATAATTAATAAAATATGCACTTTGCAAGTGACTTTTGAAGTACATGAAGGGTATTGTTTATCGTGGATTACTATGTGTATGAAGGGTCTCCTTTATCGTTTATCTCAAGATCGTTACTTAGATATTGATCACAACGTTTCAAGCACGAACTGCAGGTCTTCATCAGGCGATAGTGTCAATTTCCTTAGTAGGACTATTTGTACCGACTATTTGCACCAAACTTACATGAAAAGAGTAAACTTGCCCTCAACAAACTTTCTAGCCTGTGTAGCGGACGTCGCAAGGGGGTAGGGGATAGGGAGAAAGGCTACAAACTCTCCCATGGAAAACCTCCCTCCTAGACACTGATTGATGGCCTTTATCAAATTACGCTCTTATAGAACGAGAAAGATACACATTTTTTTCACGCCACACTTAAAGAACTCATTTCCCACGAAAGAGAGTTCAGAGTGAGTTAGTTGACGGTGAGTTTGCCAATGGGCGACTTATAAAGAGAAATCTGCCACAGATGACTGCTTATGTTAGCTCCCATTTCGTTTGTTTTCTTTTGCGCGTTCACTAAACCAATTTTAATTACCTCTATTTCAGTTTCTTTTCTTTCTATTTAAAGTTCCATGTAGTCATTTTTGTGTTCACATAAAAATTGCTTTTTTAATAATACTAAACACGTCTCCTTGTCTGGGCTTTCCTCTTCAGGTTGGGCTGTCATTAGAGGATCTTCTACGTACGTTTGTCTGCTCAGAGATCGTAGACTCTGTTGAATGTAATGGTTGCAAGGAGCGTAACTCAGTACAGTCAAGTGGCTCTGTGAGGACCAGCTTTATCAAACGACTTACACTGGGAAAAGTAAGCAGTTAGTTAAGATAGCCAGTGTACAGCCGCTCCCTCCCATGTAAGCTCTGTGCTCGCAGGTAGTTTTAAATGCGCAAAAACAACGTCAGCTTGTATCACAACATTGGCTGGACAAGGTGCAGGGAAATGTTGCTTGTATTAGCCTGCTTTAACGGCTAGAACACACGGTGTAAACACACGGTTTTAAGGATAAGCGCACCTTGACACTCCTGACCTGGCAACACATTATAACATTACGCACTTCATCACTTCCTTGTGATGGGGAACTTGATTTGTCGTCATCGGCTAGTCTTGAATGTAAAATTTGATTGTCTGAAGATTGAAAGTTGTGTTGTATTAATAACACGCATTGTAGCAGATTTCAATCATATTTGGTCCCAAATTTTTGTTTGTCATACGCTATCTGAAAAAGCTTTTTACAAAGATCTCGATAACGAAGTGTTTATCTATGGAAAAAGACCCATATAGGAGTATATACTCTTTAATCCTCTTTAAATGAAATTTATTGTGCATAATGATATAGAAGTACCGTTAGCTGATTATACTGCTGCAATACTGCGCGCAATATTTGGTATGGTAATGTTTATCCGATGCTTAAGGTGTTGGTGGTCTCAAGTATACACTATAAGGTCATTTAAAATACACTAGGGGTCATGTGTCAGAGTACAAGGTTACAAGGTAAAGTCTCTTGATGTGCGGAAGACAACATTTTAGCGACAAGCTGTACCCAAAAATGCCAAGAAATTGATCGGGCGAAACTTGATTTGTCAGTGATTCATAATGGTAGCGGTAGAAAAGTACCGTATTTATTTGAATAGGCGCCCAACCTCAAAATTAGCACCCACCTCGAATAACTGCCCATCCTAAAGGCAGAAAAAGTTAACCTCGAATAAGCGCCCACCCCTAAAGTAGAGTACTTTATTATTCATTCAAAATATTTTCCCAATTCTGATTGGCTAACAGCACACGCATAATTCACCATAACCAGTTACTGATGACCACATTTGGAAGAATTTTGTGTTTAACAAGGAAATGACGTCAAAAATGCAGCCCGCTACAGGTTACGGCACTGTTACCGAGAAGACCTGGGGTCGACTTTGAGTTGTTTTGGTAGTGAAAAAAAGGCGGAAATTTCACTTGTTTCGAGAGTAAGAACTACAGCTGGAACTAGGCGAAATAATAGCTAGGAACATGGCAAAAACAGCAAGAAGACAACTCGGAGGTGACATCTGCTATTTAGAGAATATTTGCGGAGCTGGACAAACCTAAACGTACACTATGGAAGATGAACTTAACATCGATGCAGGTAAGCATGTTTTAGCTATGTTTTTAAACTAGGAATTATTTTGAATGTCGGCCTCAGTGGATAACACCCTCCTCGATCTGCTTAATTCTTCATATCCTACTCAGCCTCATTCATTAATTGGTAAATTAGAGGACTTTCCCCAAAGATGGAGTTTTGTATATCTTAGTATTTTACAGAAACCTTGCTTTGTTACATCTTCGCATTTTGTTATTACCATTTATTGTTTTGTTGCACTGATAAACATAATACTCTTGCTGAAAAAGGTAAAAATTTAATAAGCACCCAGCCTCGAATAAGTGCCCACTCTCAAGGTCCAAAAAATTTAGTAAGCGCCCAGGGCGGTTAATCGAATAAATTAATTCGGTATTTGCTTATTGAATTTCCTACAAAATCGTGAAAGTGTACTCGACAAATCCCAGAAACACAACGTCAATCTTGAATGCGTAGTACTAGCTAAATACCTCGACACTTCACGTCTCGTTATATATCCGCCAGTATTCTGTTTCACCTCCCATTCGTGGGATAGTTGTATATTGTTCGTGCACTGGAAAAAAAATGCAAAAAACAACATGTCATTGCAACATTTTCGTTTATGTGTGGACACTGCGTCGTGCCCTCGCACCCTGACCTCTCGTAATGGAACAGTTACATGTGACTGTACTTGAATTATACCTTTGCTTGTTGATACAGCTCTTTACCGGTCTGATTTGTTTTTTCCTCAGTTGCCGCAATGCCTGTGCATCCACATTCAAAGAACTTACTGGCATACTAATGGAATACCTTACAAAAACAACGCGTTCATTAAATTTCCTGAATTCCTTGACATGGAACCGTTTTTATACGAGCCTTTAGAACAGCACTCTCGTCAGAATGGAACTGAAAGGAAATTTTTTCCAACAACAGCTGGAAATGGAGATTTAAATGGGTATCTTGATGAACTGGTTGGCTCGTTTGTCGGTGCAGGCAACAAGAGGTGAGCGTGAAACGTTTTTGTGGTTACTACGGCTATTACAGAAGCTTAACCCTTTAAACCTTAAGATCAAAAGTTGAATTCTCATAATCGTTGCCCTCATTCATTTCATACAGAAGAAGTGGGGAGAAGTTGATAAAATATCAAGCAAATTCATCTTGTGTGATCATGTCCTTAATTCTCATGACCACTCTGTTTTACAAAGCATTGACATTACAACGAGAAATTTGACGCTGATCACTCTTACGGCTTAAAGGGTTAAAGGGCCTATGTCACCCTGCTTTCTATCTTTTTCAAAAGCTAAAACCCTTGTTTGCATCAATTGAATTCCAAAACATAATGGCCAAGTTTTGTTATTTAAGAAGAAGCTGTCTCCTGTCGTCTGTCTCAATGGATGGCAAGGATAAACATGGATTTCATGCTATACCTGCAAGAATTACTCCCTGGTGAAATTGCTTGTTACCTTCTTGTCTCTAAGGGCATTTTGTGTATGGGTAAATGCCCTTAGTAATTATTTTAGCACAGAATTGGGATCAATAGGACAATTGCACGATGACGTCATTTTACTACAACTACCAGAATCCTTTAGTTTGTTGTTTTCTTGTGCAAATTAGAGCTATTGTTCTGTAATCCTCAGCGGCGTTGACAAATTTAAATAAGAAAGCAAAAACGAAATGAATTCTGGTAGTCGTGTCGTCATCGTGAAAATGGCCTATTAGGTTTTTGGGAAACTGCCCACCTACCCCTCCCCTAAGCCAACATTTTGCCCCAAAGGAGAAGTAAGCTTTAATGTTGGCTTAGGGAAGGGGTAGGTGGGCAGTTTCCCAGAAACTTAAATTTATCTCAGAATTGACCTACAACAGTAATGTCCTCGTGGCATTAGACTGCGAGCAGTTTCTCTTTTTCTTCAGATTTAGTAAGGGGAGTGCACGCGCGCGCAAGCGTTGAGCGGCGAAGCCGCGAGACGCGAGAAACGAGGGCGGCAGGTGCCTCTCCCGTCTCGCGCCTTCAGTCACGCGCGTGGTCATTTACGTGTCTCGGGCGTTTTGCTCGACGGACGAAGAAAAAAGAGAGACTGCTCGTAGTCTATCGTGTTATCAGCCCCTTTAACTATTAGAGATGTTCCACGCATTTAGCTTTCTGCATATGATAACGGTCACAAAATATCGGAATGGTTCTCTTAACACAATTCTGATCCCAGTCTTGTTCCCAGGCCTCCCTTCCACCCGTCCCTCTTCATGGGACGGATGGAGGTCGTCGAGGTTAAATCCAAAGCAAAAGAATCTCACTGCACAGTGAAAGAAAGACACTTTAAAACAGTTTGAAATGTATTCAATTTTGTAGTGAAACTGTAAACAGTATAGTCGTGTTTCGTTTGTGGGTTTTGTCTGTCAGAGCCTATACGGAGGTTAAGCATTGCGCACTTGGTCTTGGTAGAAATAAACCGGTGGCCAAATCCGAAAGGTGTCGATTGTTTTTGTTCCACATTTCTTTTTCTTCGTCATATATCTTAAAGAAGTGCGCGGGTTTTAAGAGATACAGACATACGCCTTTTTTGGTGAAATGTGCTTGAAATTCATTTGATGACTACCATCATCTACATTTTCTAGTGCATAAGTAATGTTTTATAGCTACCGCGAACAGTTGCTAATCGAAAAGGTAACTCAACGATTATCCGTTTGTAATCGATAATTCGGCTGTAATTTCCGTTGCCTGGAGCCGGGTGTACCCCTCCAGGGTCACACGGTATTTTCTGGTATGTTTTCCGATTGTTTGATGCCTTGTTTTATTGGATTGGTAGAGTGGTACTAAGGTGACGCGAAATGGTTTATAAATATGCGTGGAATAGGGTTCTGTTTAAGAGTAGAGAACACTATAAAGTAAAAAAATATATTTTTATCTTCTTTGTCTCTGGGACTTCGATATAAAACACGAACTTTCGTTCAGAGTTTAAACAGTGCAACCGAGAAATATGGTCTCACATAGAAATTTATATTTTAGCGAGGAGTTTTCAAGGGTATTGCACTAGTAGCCGTTAGAATGGCCATAGCAATTTCCATTCTTGCTGTCTCTTTAACCAATTGATTTGGTTTTTCTGTCCTGACTTGATGAGGAAATTTAATGTTGATCCATCAATTCTACCCACTGCACATTGTTTTTCCCCCTGATGTTTTTTATATCTATTTCATCTTATTTTACAGTACCAGCCGAGCAGTTTACAAGCTAATGGCTGTTATTGTTCACATGGGAACGGTCGACGATGGACATTACATTACTTATCGAAGGTTTGAAACGGAGCATGCGTCGAAATGGCTTTACGCTTCGGATGAAGTGGTAGAGGCTGCGTCACGTGATCAAGTCTTGTTAAGCAGTGCTTATATGCTTTTCTATGAGAGAACTAGAAAATAACCTGATCACTTTTAGTGATATGTTACTTGAGAAGGTATTGCGTGGTTATCAGAGACGTGCTATGTCTATTGCGGATACCGAACTTTTAAGTCATTTACTGGCCTGACTAGGCAAATGGACGAATCGCAATCTGCTTAGTAAAAAAACTCTGCGTGGAGCGCGCATTTACAACAGAGGTCGGAATGAATAGAAAAACTCAGAGCAGAAAAAAGTATTTTATTCCGTCTAGGTGGAATTTGTAAAGGAGTGTAGAATAGTAATAACCCTGGATCGTCTTGAGAAAGGGAAAGAGAACAAATCATCAGTGATAGATAGGGCGACGAACATCAAACAACTACTTACCTCAATAAATTATTCTTCTCGACAAGAAAGGATAGAAGACTTGTAAATATCATTACAAGTTGGCTTTAAATAAATCTTTATTGTAAGGAACTTAACTGTTTATGCTGTTTACAACGCCTTTATCCGAAGACCCAATCCGTTGACCACCACCCCCCGCCCGCCCGCCTCCACCCTCTTATTGAGGTGCTCTTGATGAAGACTGACTTCCCAACTCAAGGACTTCCTTAATTCCTCTCTCATGCTTTGAAAGCCAAACCTATTTTAGGGCGCTAACAGAAAAATCTTCTTTAACCAGAAAGGATTTTCCTTCGACTGACAAGTCTTCGAATATTGACTTCGAATAGTGAAAAAGAATGAGTGCGCGCGATAAGGAAGATCGTAATCAATCTTCTGGTCTCTAACGCATCTCGCCTGTTTGATATTTTTTCCTCCTTTTTGGACGTAGAGGAAATTCGGAAATATTAGTGAAACTGCGCTCAGATGATTCAGATCTAGTATACATCAGTACAATCTTTGTGATTTCCACGCGAGTGCCTCCCGCACGCCTCCCTGGAGGAGACGCAAAAACATTTCAGACTGAATTGGTGACATACATAAATGATAATTATATGATATAAATGATATTCGGAAATTTTAGTCAAACTGCGCTCGGACAATTCAGACCTGGTATACATTCACACAATCTTTGTGATTTCCACGCGAGTGCCTCCCGCACGCGAGGACATGCCACTCGCGGTAGAAAATGACTTCTCTACCAAAAAAAATTCAGAGGGAATATGGTGACATACATAAGTGACATTTGTGCAAAGTCAAAACTGGTAAATCGATGATTACAATTTTGGAAATGTACGATATTTCGCACGGTCGGTCAAAGGTGACCGACCGTCTACTACATGTAAAGTAACCCAAAATATGACATTCACTATTGCATGCATGCCGTGTTTTTGGCGGGAAATGGTGTGGTAGCCCGCGATTTTTGGGCGGGAAATTGTATGTCGAAAGGCGCAGGATCGGAGCAAGTTGAAGACAACGAGGAAGCAAAGATGTTTTTTAAAATCATTACGGGAAAAACTTTGTGACAAGTTTTACATCATTTGTTGGTTTTAAGGAGGAAACTCAGCTTTGTTCTCGGCAGACCAGGTAAAAAGTCTTAGCTCGTTTTGTGGTAGCTTCTTATACCTTGTTCGAAAACGTTTTACTCTAGGTTCGTTAATACGGACAACAAACAACGTGCAACTTGTTTTGCGAGTTAAATAGCGTCCTATCACCCACGGAAAAAAACGTTGCAACCTTTATTGTTTCAAAAAAGGTTCGAAAGTGGGATGTAAAACGTGCAACATCGCCACTCAATGTGTTTTGCAGCAGTGTTGCAAAACAGGAAGCACGTTTTTTGTTGCCGGTTTTACTGTGGCTTTATTAAGAACATATAATTAAGCTAAGGACTAAAATGAGATTCCTGAGTTGTTTTTAATAAGCTTATGTTAACTATTTCAAAAAACTTATCCTGCCTAGCGTTTTCTTTTAACTCGGACTATAATGACTTTGTTGTAAAGTAAAACCTAAGATTCTGCATCGACCGTCCGTTTCGGCTGGCAGTGATTGATTCCGTAATTTTACAAAGCAGTTCACGGTTTATTCTTTTAATAGAGGAACATTGTATTTTCACTTACGAATTAACCTTAATTGCTTGGTTATAAGAGGGAAAAGAACGAAAACAAAGAAAAATTGTAGGTGACCTATATATGTTTTTTTTTCTTTTTTTTGGCTTTTTATTTGCATTATATAGCTAAATTTTTCAGTTGCTGGTAGAATCAGCTTGGTGGTGTAGTGGTGATGGAGAGTGTAACGCAAGTGAAAGGCTCGGTTTCAATCCTGGGCGATAAAAATTTTTTTTGAGTCAAAACGTGAACGGCTAAAATTTATTTCTTTAAAAGAGCATTGATCTTTTACGAAAAGTGCAGCGCCGAGGTCATAGCTTCATTTTGTGTTTTTGTGTTGGTTGATAAACGTGACAACATTCTCAACAAACGGCACTTGTATTCCGTATTGCTTCAAATATAGCCTTACCAAAAAATAAAATGAGAGGGAAAGGAGAAGGAGGCGCTTATTCAAGAAGGGCTCTCGTTTGCTAGTTTTCCTGACGGGTCCTAATCATACCTAGGCTCTCTCTTATCTAATCATTAGCTGATCACACAGGCCTAGCATTGGCTGGCAATTGCCTAATCAAAGTAAAGCATAATAATCATACTAATAATAATAATAACAATAACAATAACAATAATAATGATAATAACAGAGGGTCTGGATGGGGTTAACTGACAACTGACAAATAGCCGAACTGACATTTACCTTGGGTTTTACTGACAACTGGCAAAGGACCTGATTGTTCCTTATTTTCTACAAAACTCGTTTTTAAGGCCCTAAATAGCATTGTTCCTCTCTTTTCATCAAACAATGCGATCAAATGTGCGTTTATCTTAGCAGCAAGACGCGAAAGAGTCATATTTTTTTAATGATCTTACTGTAAAACTCATTTGTGTCATGTACCATCTGTTGTAAATGACCTATGATCTCAAATTTACGCTCCTCTGAATGGCTGCTCAGAATGAGGGCGTTGCAAAGGCAATTGCAAGTTTTTACTGAGATGAAATCAGGGACGGTTTTTCTTGGTCGTCTTACGATCTTCAGCCCAATGTTATTCCTGCGAACTTTTTGCGAGTCAAATGCATGAGATTTTCACCTTGTCATGACCAAGATTTCCGGAAACGTCCCGCCGACTTCCGAAGATTTTCGACGAAATTCCAAAGATTTCCGAACGTTGCCGAAAATTAAATGTCCGCAGACTGTTCCCGAAGACTTTTGAGCACTTCCGAGGCTACTTAAAAGACGACACTTTCAGCGTGCTTTGATATGATTTCGTTAGAAGCGAAAAAAGGACTCAAAGTCATCATTTGTTAAGAACAATTTGTCCAGATTTGTGAGTCAGGCGTAAGAAATTGTCCTTGATGCGTGAGATCCAGTGGCGGATCCAGACCGTCAGATAAGAGGGGGGCGGTCATCCAGACCCTGAGATAAGGGGGTTAAAAAATATTTTTCGGCCCTTCGGGTCTCAGTTTGGTCCAAAAATAAGGGGGGGGGGCCGCCCTGGATCCGCCACTGAGATTGATGCATGTCTTTAGTCCACAGGCGTAAGACTCACGCATAATGCGTATACAATATTCTGATGGTATAAATTTTGATTGGCTTAATGGTTGGCAATGTTGGACTCTGGCCAGCAAAAACGTTCGAGTGGAGGAGAGTGACACAAGACTTGAGAAAAGGAGGGCCACTCGAGACGCTTACAACATGTACAATAGCAAAAGTGATAAAAATTAAGGAACTATGGCATCAGTTTTGGAATTTAATGTTTAATTTAAGCTATACGTGCCTTTTAAGCCAAATTTCGCATCAAAAATGTACAAATAAGTTTCATAGTTTATCATTAATAACCATTTAACTGACAACTGACAAATGGCCGAAATTTTAACGGACAACTGACACTTGTACCCCCCTCCCGCCCCCATCCAGACCCTCATAACAATATGAATGGCTTTATTTCATATCTACTATCCATTGAATGCATAGCGTAAGTTTGAAAGTCCGCGCTCTTCGAATACGATCTTGCGCGTAGTCCAATATTTCTAGTACCTGGCCAACATTTTTTCTTTGTTTTTGTTTTTTATTTGCATTATATAGCTTAATTTTTCATGCAACTTCACAGATCAGCTTGGTAGTGTAGTGGTAACAGTGACAGTTTCGCGTACCAAAGGCTCGGGCTCAATCCCGGCGATAAACTTTTTTTTCAGTCAATACTTTAAACAACAGCTACATATTTATTTATAAAAATGGCATCGATCTCTGTTTTGGTGACCTATTTGAGTATTTTTTTTTCTTTTTGTTTTCTTTTTAATTTGCATGATATAGCTAAATTTCTCAGTTTCTGGTAGGATCAGCTTTGTGGTGTAGTGGTGATGGACAGTGTAGCGCAAATGAAAGCCCCGGTTTCAATCCTGGGCGATAAATATTTTTTTTGAGTCAAAACGTGAACGGCTAAAATATATTTCTTCAAAAGAGCATCGATCTTTTACGAAAAGTGTAGCGCCGAGGTGATAAACGTGACAACATTCAACAAACGGCACTTGTATTCCGTATTGCTTCAAATACGTGTCCCGAAGCTTAAAACGTAGACTAGGGGAAGTGGGGGCTTGGGAGAGGCTACGCAAATGAGGCTTCCTTAGAGGGTGTGCCTATCATGTTTGACGTTATCATATATATTTGAAAAACTGTCCTTAAACACATTACTGTCGCCGCGTGGCGAAAGTTTTAAAAATCAGTACTTTATTTCTATAAAGGAACATCGATCTTTTACGAAAAGTGCAGCGCCGAGGTCGTAGCTTCATTTTATGTTTTCGTGTTGGTTGATAAACGTGACAACATTCTCAACGACGCTATAAAAAGTAGACTGAGGGAAAATGGTGGTGGGGTGGGGGAGAGGCTACGCACATGAGGCTACCTTAGAGGGGTCACTTATCATGTTTGGCGTTACCGGATAGATTTTCGCACTATATCAGATAGCTTTTCTTGTCGACACGAAAATCTATCCGATGTAGTGTGAACAGAGTCTGAAAGAGGTTGGGTCACCAAAACTTTCTTACTTCTTTAACATGAGCCAGTCAGAGCAGTGTTTGTTCTGATTGAAAGCTTCCAAAAGTTGCCCTGGTAGCTCCACCACTGACTGGAACTAGCAGAAAGAAGATTAAGTTTTTTAACTCAATTTGAACAAGAGTTGGAAAAAAACGTAAGGGGTACTCTCTATAACGAGAAGATACGAAATTAAAATTGCGTAATCAAATTTTTCTTTTTTACTATCGTGTCGGCTTGGTAGTGTAGAGGTTAGAGGCGGAGTTAAGTGTTCGAGCCCGGGTTCGATTCTGGGTTGCACCTTTTTTGTATTTTTTTTGT